ATAATAAAATTGGAAAAGACTTTCTTCTTTTATAGCTCTTAATGACTAACTCCTAGTCTATGCAACAAGACAGTTTTTGTTCTCTGTTATTTCTAGCCAGCTCCAAGAGTAAACTGATGGGTAGAGAGCAGAATTCACCTCAGCTGGTAAAACTGCTGATTTTTTTCCACCCCCTAGTTATTACATAGAAAATTATCAAGGCTGAAAAGTGACAGGTAGGAAATTCTTACTGGAGTTAAGCTCCTAGTGGCCATTTGCATCTTTCCTGTCCACCTCCCTTCTTTGAACAAAGATATCTTGGCTTATTACAAGCCTATTCTTCTACCCTCAGCATTGCTATTAGTTTCCCTGGTCTGTTGCAAGCCTTTTGTGAAATGTATAAACACGTGGGCAGGTCAGCTTACTAATTGTGTAGGCAAGGATAAAAGACCTTTAACACTTACCGAAGTCCTGGCAAGGGCATTTGTGTCTGTCTCTCTGTGGAAGAATTTACATTTTCGTAGTTGCATAATCACACGGGTGGAAGGGATCTAGGCTACAGGCAGTTTTACAGCTCTCTATGTCTAGCTAAAGATCCATGTTTGTCTTTGTACGTGACTCTGGTACTGGGTGAGGATAAGGGGTGCAGTTGTGAAAGATAAAAGGCTATTCCTCACTCATGCTGAAGTTCCAAAGGGACTTCCCCAACTTATCTGTGTTATAGCTGTTTGCAGTGGCTGTTTGAATTCTTAATAGCATTAGGCGCTGATTCAGGGAGTGATTTTATGTTAAGGGATTCTAACAATAACTGCATTTCTAATGACGTTCTCTGTGAGGAAACCTCTGCCATGACTGGGATGAGGAAGTATCAGTGACGGGTAGGTCATGGCTGATTCTTGTGTTTGTGTGAGATAACTCTGGGGTCAGAGATAATGGGACAACTGATCCTTAATGGCTTAATGTTGAACTTTTTCCTCTCAGTGATTTCAGCATAAAAGTCCCACCCTATTGTGGATATTCTAATACATATACAAAGTGTGGGGTTTCTTATTATCTGGACATCTTATGCTTCCATAATTATATGGCATCTGCATAGCTCTAATTTGGACAAGTCCTGAAGGGCGCTTCATTTCCCCAGCCTCACTTCAAATGGCACAGCATAGTGTCTTTTGGATCAGGCTTTAAAGTGTCATTTTTACAAACAGATCCCTTTCCATTGTCAGGGTCTAGGGTCACTTGTAATTCTGTCTCGTAGCTCTCATAAAATGTCCTCTTGGTATTTAATCATGGGCTTGTTGGGTGGTGATGGCACCAGCTGTGTAATGCAGAGAGTATTTTTTTGTTATCATACTTCTGTGTCATGTAAAAAGATTAGAGATGCATATAAAGCACTTTTCCTGCCAGGTTTGAAAATGCCTTCAAATGATGATTCTTGGCATAGTATATGTTTAGACAGTATTGCTGCAGTGAATACGGTAGGATTCCCATTTTTAGGTTGTTTTCATTCTGCATGTATAATCTCATTTACTGAAAACATATACATACATATACTTTTTCTCTTATACTTCCACCATCCACCTTTAAAACTTGTTGGTAGGATATCAGGAAAATCACTGGGTATTCCTAAGAGGATTTACATTTCTGCAGGTCATGGACCTGCAGAGGATTTTGTAGCTGTCAACCCTACGTGGGTTGTTTTTAGCTTTGCAGATAACACAGGTGGGAAGAAGCCCCGAGAAGCTTGTTTGACAGAGGTGAAGTAAACTGTAAGTACAATGATATACAGACAGCTATTTCTACCCTCTTTCTGGATAGAAAAAAAAAACAGGTGTGGTATTGGTTAGGAGCAGTATTCAAGTAGGTGATTAGACATCTTTCTAGTTCATAAGAGAGTATGAGGTTAGGTTGAATAAAATATAATCTTATTTAGACGATATTAAATCATAGCACAAGATTGAAATAAATGGAACTAAATGAGTAGAATAAAGAGTGAAACATCCTAAAGTGTTAGCCTTCATGTTTAATAAGACCAAGGAGGCACAGTTAAGGGTTTGATTGTTTAACTCTTTCAATGAAGGATGTTTCTGGACATCTTACCATCCATTCCTGCCATCGTTAGCTGAAGAAGGGAGGCTAAAGCCTTGGTACAGGTCATCTGTTTTGATTTTAACAAGACAGAAATTCTATTTCTTCATTTCTGCCAAAAGAAATCTGCAATATCTTCATATAATTTCAGTACTGATAGGTGCAAATTAATCTATTAAAAATAACAATTTTGTTTGGGCCTAATGTATTCTGATACCAACAGAATTCTCGCATCAAATTTTCTGGGTTCCTGTGTCCTCGTCAGATTCTGCCCACAAACATCTGCTTGCACATTTGGACCTTTCTTTTCTCCCCCCCCTTATTCTGAGGTATTGAGAATTTTGACCAAATAAGGCTATTGGAAGTTATGTCAAATCTATGAAGTTTTAGAAGTATTTCTGTTCATTCTAAAAATTTGAGATATTTCCTAAACTAAATAGAAAGGAAGTGTAAGCAGCACCTTGAGACTTTTTGTTCAGGGAGGAGCTGTCTTGCAGTGAAAGATGCAAGGCTGAAGAGAGGTGCTTATTCCCATGGAAGCTGGAGGAAGAGATTGTGAGCTGCAGGAGAGAAGTGTCTGGGGGAAGCACAAGGCGCCTGTCTGTTTGCATGTGACTGCAGTCCTGGCTTCAAGGGCAGCACTTTCAGGAACTGCAAAGAACCAGTGTAATTTTAGATGTGTGAGGAATGACTATGCGGTATCTTTAAGGGCACCCTGAAGCCACCCTTAGGATTAGATTCACTATCTGTAAGAGCAGCAAAGCTGGACGTGTGATTGTGAGCCAGAGGCTGCTCCGCAAAGCATGCAGAGCCCTGCGTGCCTGCACGCGCTGTTCAGCCCAACACAGCACAGGCGTGGTGCTCTCTCAGCGGCTTTCTGAGGCACATCCAGACAGGTTGGTTGACACCTACCTGCAGCCATCTCATCAGACTGGCTGCAAGACCCCCAGGTGAAAGGCAGGGACGTGAGACTGGGAGGTTGCTGTAGTCCACCTGCTTCCCAGAGTACTTGGTGTGAGCAGTGTTGACACTGCCTTGAAGTGCTTTCTGGTTACTGTTCAGTGTTAGAGATGTGAAAGAGGATTTCTATGAATTCCGAATCTGTTTGAATTTTACGGGGCCACTTCTGTGGTTGTTCTTCCTCTATTACACAGTGTCGTTGCTATTGACTGTGTTGTCTTTTTGTGGTTGGATTTCTTCAGATGGTAATTCTTGTGCTAAGTTATGGTGCCTCTGGTTTCATGGTGTGTTTGTTGTGTGACTCACAATTGTGTGACCCATGAGATTTATTTGTCCTTTTCCTACAGGTTTTAATTTGATGTCAAAACCATTATGCTTTCAAAGACTTACAGTTCTGATGTTCAACAGCCAAAAGTATTGATTTGCAATTGGCAGGAGGGTGTGTTTGCTTCAACTAGCAGTGCTTTTAAAAATTAATTCCATTTGCTTTGTGCCAAAGAGTCCCTGTGTCCCCTGTCAAACCACCTTCGTGTTGACTGCAGCAAAGCCTACCACATGAAGAATGAAGTAGTGTTTAGGCCAAATGTTCTCCCACATATTTTCAAACCTTTTAGCGGTGTTACCACTGAAATTTTTTGCCTAAAAACCACAGCAGTTCAGAGCTCCACTTGATGCTTTTTGTAAAGACATCCACTTTGTCTTCAAGGGCTACAAGAAAGGGCTACATTTGGCCCAGTGACCGTGAGTGGTGGCTACCCATACGCATTGTCCTCCCGGTGTGTATGGGAATAGGTGTGTGTGAGCTGCTTATGCTGTGAAAGGGAATAAAATCTCGTCCATGACACTGAGTAATCTGGTTATTTTTATCACTAGCTGTGACTCTCTGAATTATCATCTGTATTATGGGATAATATGATCTCTTCGGTATTCAACAATGACTTTTTAAAAATTACCATATATATTATACAGAGCTAATATATTAAGAGATACCTTAAGGGTAATTATCAAATGTGTAATTTCATCTGTAGTTTCTTGTAATGATGGTTAATGTCATAAATGCCTTTTAATGAAATTATAGGCTTGTGACCCTGCCTGACTATCCTTTGTGTGTCATATAATTAATAAGACCAAGCTTTGGTGTTCATCTCAGTGTCATAAAGCATCATGTAAACTTCCAAATGATGGTAGATGGTTAGTCTCTCATCAGAGTAAGAATAAGGTTAAGGCCAGGCAGCTTGAGTATATGTTACCTTATCTTTAAAGGCAGCTGGATGGGCTTGTTAACAAAAGTACTTCTAACAGAATATATATGCTCATAAAAAAAGTGTCCATTGATCTAGTGTCTTATTACAATACTACATTATATTATAATACTATAATGCAAAATTTTGAGGGAGTGAAAAGGCAAGTGGGTTGCAGCACTTGGAATAAAGAATTGTTTTCCTTCTAATCCACTGAGGGAAGTGAAAATTTGTGTCCAACTTAAAAGCGTTTGGAGATGGATAAGAACTTCATCTTGAATTGAAGACACTTGCCTGGAACGTAGAAGAGCTGGGATTGTTTCCCAATCTGGCGTAATTTCTGTGGGGCTCTGGCGCTAAGTTGATTATTTTTTATGGTCTTCAGATTTCCTGTCTGAAAAATAAGGGCTGTAATATTTCTTTTCTTTGTCTCACATTTCCAGATTTTAAACTTGCTGGAGCAAAGGAGATATCTGTGTGGGGTTTTGTTGGGTTTTTTCCTTTGGCAGTTACCACAGAATCTTACAGAATCGTTCACATTGGAAGGAACCTAAGGTCATCTAATCCCACCTCCTGCTCAGAGCAAGGGCAGTGTTGAACTTCTGCCTTCTAGGCCATTTTCTTGTTGTGAATACTAATAAGGGAACCAGAAATTTTACATGTCATCAGTGAAAAGTAGTTCTAAAAAATCATGTAAGACTCATTAAGATTATTTTACTGTTCTTTGTCCTTCAGGGAATGATGTACCTGGAAGAGAGGAGACTTGTCCACCGGGACTTGGCAGCCCGTAATGTCTTGGTGAAATCACCAAACCATGTGAAGATCACTGACTTTGGTTTGGCCCGGCTTTTGGAAGGGGATGAGAAGGAGTATAATGCTGATGGAGGGAAGGTGAGTGCTGTACATGTCTGGAAGTAAATATACCACTGTGACAAACCTCCTGAAGTTACTCTTCAGGGCAGTGTATCCCTACGGGACTTATCTATGTAAGAAGGTTTGTCAGTGACTTAGCAAACTATGTTGTGACAGCACACATAAAAGCTGCTCATTTTTTGCTCAGCGAGCTTCTCCAGGTGCCAAAATGTAATTGTCTGAACAGTTTTCACATTCAGAATTAGGTTTCGTTCGTATGCTCCGTTTTGTGTCTTGTTTCGAAGACTTCTGAAGTCAGTTCAATGAGTGACGGATGTTCTAAGGCATTTCTGCCAAGCCCCTTTCCTTGGTCAGTATGGACCTCAATAACTTGCAGTCCCATTTTCCCAGACAAGTAATTTTCCAGAAAACAAAAAGGAAGGCCACAGAACATGTTTGTATTTGTAGCATATAAGAGTTTACATATGCTCAGCAAAGAGCCACCTCTTCTATCACATTGGAAGAGCCTGCGTATGCTATTTCTTGCATCCAAGTCTCCAATACCATGCTGAATGCCAGGCCACAGAAAAAACTAGCTTGAAGATAATTTTGAAACCAGACATTTTCCCATACTGCTTTTCAGCATACCACACCACATCCATGTAGTGCCTCACCTCATTTCTAATGCCTTCAGATTAATGCATTATAAAATTCAGAAGACTGTAGGTAAAGGCTGTAAGTACATACTGCTGCCGGCTGCTCCCTAAACATCTCAAAATTGCACGTTTCAACCTGTCACAAAATCCCAAGGGATTCTGCCTCTCCTGTCATTCCTTTTCCTGAATGTTCAGTTTGCTTTCTGTCTACTTGCTATCTGTGTTTTTCTGTGCTCACTCATGCCCTTGTCTGGGACAAACAGCTGCTGCTGGTGTGTGCTTTTCTCCTGGAAGGGCTGCTGCTTTATTTGTGTGGCTGCTGCCCTTGGCAGTTGTTGCATGGATTGCATCGGCATTTCAGTCGGTGAGGTGAAGAGCTTGAAAGGAGTCACCGGTGCTTTCCCACTTCCCCAGTAAAGAGACCTCCTGGCAGGGAAGGTGGAGTTCTGGCAGTCTTCCCTGATTCCTTCAGTTCTCTAATCGCCTCTTCAGTAACCCCTCTGTCTCTTCCCTCCATCAGTCAGTGAATGACAGAAAATGAGCTGGTCCTTGCAAACCAGCTGTTCCCTGGCAGCTGTTAGATGGTGTCTTGGACTTGTGAGGCCAATCACATTGCTGGGAGTTCTGGAGCAGGATTTACACGTCATATGTCCCAGTTCTCAGAGAAGCGTCCTGTGAAATCCAGAAGACATTTGCAGCTTAAAGTTGTATTGAGAGCATGCTAAGACAGATTCAGACTGGATAAAAGGAAAAACTTTTTCACTATGAGGACGATCAAGCGGTTGATCAGGTTGCCCTGGCAGGTGGTGCAGTTTCCATCCTTGGAGATTTTCAAGTCCAGACTGGATAAAGCCCTGAGTAACTTGGTCTGAGCTCATAGCTAAGCCTCTTTTGAGCCTGAGGTTGGACTAGAGGCCTTCTGAGGTCCCTTCCAATCTGAGTTATCCCATGATGAGCAATGCAGCTTTGCTACTTCAGCAATTGTTCAAGTTTGGAACGACCCAGTCGTATCTAATGGAATGAAAGTGATACACTTCTGCAGAGTTTCGTGGAGGAGGATGAACTGTCTTTGCAAGTGCTAAGCCAACCTTTAATAAAGAGTGCTATTTTTGCTATAACTGTATAGGTTATGTTCATTAGTCAACTTCATGGAAGGTATTTTCATAAGGGTTTGAATGAAGACACATCCTCTGCTTTTACACCCACCATCTGTTCAGATTTTGCGTGCAGTTGCGTATCTCTCTGGTTTATTCCAGTACATCTTCCATAGTTCCAAATTAGAGGTGACCCATACACGTCTATGCCAGGTAAAAATCTGTTTTTAATGTCTGTCCATTAGAAATTAATGGACTGCAAGACTGTACCTTACAGGCCCAGCTCAGGAATAGGAAACACCGTGAATCTCATTTTAACACGAACTCAAGAGGGCGAACCCTTATGCCAAACCTAGGTTTGTGTTTGCCTACACAGCCTTTTCTGTCCGAAGAGATGAGCTCTCCCCAAGGGTGATTCAGAGCCAAAGGCCATGTTGGGAATTTTGACTTGCTTTCAGGAGCAACTTTTCTCACTGCAGTAATGATACAGAGAACTGGGAAGGCCAAGTTCCTAACGAATATTAGGAGTTAGAAATTAAACACTGTAAATTCTCCCCATTGCCTGTTTACTCTGATGATGATTATGTGGACTGTGAAGTATTATGGACACTGCATTATTAGCTAGCCTCATTAGAGAGCAATCGAGATAGCAGTGTCTGGTTTGGCAAACTATTGAGGCAAAAGAGCTGCTGTATTCCACCTTCTCTGCTGCACTTCAGATTTACGGGGATTGGATGTAATTGTGTTGGTCCCATCTTTACACAGGTGTCCTGGTTTCTGCTGGGATAAGGTTAAATTTCTTCCTAGTGCTGTGTTTTGGATTTAGTATGAGGAGAATGTTGATAACACACTGATGTTTTCAGTTGTTGCTAAGTACTCTCCTAGTCCAAGAACAGCTCCCATGCCTACTGACTGAGCTAGGTACGCAAGATGGGAGGGAACATAATCAGGCCAGCCAGCTCAGCTGGCCAATGGAGTATTCCATACCATATGATGTCATGCTCAGTATATGAATGTTAGGCGTGATCCAGGAAGTACTGATCGCTGCCTGGTTTTCAGTCAGCGCGGGT